AAATATTTTTTAAAAATAATTTTTATAAAAAATTAATTAAAATAAACTAAAATTATTTATAAAAAAAAAAAAAAAAAAAAAACTTTCGTCTCCACCGGAGACGAAGATCCCTTCTTCGTCTCTGGCTGGAGACGAAGCCTGAGACGAAGAACGTTTCCTCGTCTCCGGCCGGAGACGATGTTTTTTTTTTATTAATTTTTTTTATAAATAATTTTAGTTTATTTTAATTAATTTTTTTAAAAAAGTATTTTTAAAATATATTTTAAATTGGATAACATGTTAGAAAGGGAAAAAACTTGCAAATTGGATAAATTGCTTGAAATATGTTAGTTTAGGGACTCAATTGTAGCTTTTTTGAGTTCAGTGTCCTAATTACATTATTGTGTGTGGTTCGATGGTCTATTTGACCTTTATTCCATTTATAAATTTTGTTTTGCTACTAACGGTATAATGTACAGTTTGAAATCTACAAAACTAAAAAAAGAGATATATGGATTTAACAATGTTGTGACTACTAACCTCATCTTAACTAATTAGGACATTCCTATTTGTGGTTTTTTTTTTTTTTTTTTTTGGGTCAAAATGGAAGGGAGAGATTAGGAAAGAGAAGAAATTGATTTTGCAATAAGTTGCATTGTTTTTGTGAGGTGACAGAGAGAGGAAGAGGACAAAGTCGCGCCAATTGGCGCGATAGGTGCACAATGTGCGTCGCAGTACACGTTCCACCTAAGCATGTAAATAAGCATTTTTTTTAATCCTGACATTTAGCATAGAAAAACAACTCTGGCCAGCACTTTGTCTCTTAATTGGGTTGATCCCGTGCGAAAAGGAATTAGTCTGATTATGGTAGTGGCTTAAAGGTGCTTCCTACAGTTAGGGTCTAGTCAGAACACCTCATAGCCTGACCAAAAAAATTTAAATCCAACAATAATACTCGAATATTTTGATTTAATTAACGGTTCTGTATCAAACACCCTCCTGATTGAGTCTGTACATGATTTTCTTAGTGCAATTTATTTTTCTTATGTGATTTATAAGTTATTATATGTTAAGAATAAAGTTAGTACAGATACACAATACATATATTCTAATAATAGCTGCGAATTTCTTTTGTCATCTAAAATTTGCACAAAAAGACTCAATGACAGCCCAAGTGCCCAACGGGGCTTGAAGGGCCTGCTACTCTTTGGACATTGTACGAATAAGCCCATTTTCTTAATGGGATACACCGATTAATAGTCCAAGGATTGCAATCGTTATGCTGTGCATCAGTATGCACCAAACATGGTGCATACGGATGCAAAAACAACGTCGTTTTGTCGCTTAACTTAAAAAAATAAAAATTAAAATTGCATAACTACACATTCATAATTTCATCACATCCATAATTTCATAATTATACATCCAGAATTACATAACTATAAATCTAGAATTGCATAACTACACATCCATAACTTCATAACTATACATCCAGAATTGCATAACTACACATCCATAATTTCATAACTATAAATCCAGAATTGCATAACTACACATTCATAACGTCATAACCACACATTCAGAATTGCATAACTACACATCCAGAATTGCATAACTATACATCCAGAATTTCATAACTAAAAATTATGAATGAATGAACTAAAAAAATGAATAACATAATGTTGTTGCTGGGAATCGAAACTGATTATTATTATTTTTTTTAAGTAGGACACGTGTTTTGCATCAAAACGATGTCGTTTTTGCATCCGTATGCACCGTACGGATGCACAACATAATTTGCCCAAGGACTGTAGTTCAAGTCACAATGTCAACACCTTAGGACTTGTGTGGCTAAATTTATATAATTCTCTCATTTCAAACTTGACTCAACCTCTAGTGGCACCAAGTTGCTATCTCATATGAAATTATAGATTCGAGATTCAGTGGAGATGATATTTATTTTTTGTGATTCAGTAAGTTGAGAAAGTAGTTATGCATAGATACTGCATTATTATAACAGAGTTGGTAGTAATAATAAAAAAAAAAAACCTTGACTCACCTCTTTTCATTTATTATGATTTAACATAATTAATTTGCAGATGAATCATACAACATTATGATGCTTATGAGTTATGACATGACAAGTCACACGCAAGCATACAATTATGAATATCTAATTAATGCCCGCATGGGCAGCTCAACTGGTTATAGAGGTGAAGTTTGAAAAGATTGACCAGAGATTGAGTCTCACCAGCGACAGTGTGAGAGCAACCTCTCAAAGTTAGGGGGCTCCTTGTGCGCAGTAAGCAAGTTACCATGATTTACATCATCCCAGATGCTCTGTCGCGACGGAGTGTGGGGGCTTCTTGTGCATACTAAGCAAATGTGTTCATCAGAATTATCATGATTTACATCCTCCTAAATGCTCTGTCGGGACGGGACGTGAAGGACACTTAGGGTTGGGAATTCAACCTTTTGGGAACATTTGAATATCTAATTACCTTAATAATAATGTAGCAACTAATATAGGTGGTAAGTAGAAAGAAATTATTAGCAGCACGCAATGTCCTTACTTTTTTCCATTTTTGTCAATGCATTCTCAAAAAGCTTTACCCACTACCTTTGAATTCTCAATAAATTTAATTGAAACATAATTTTTTACAGACGACAGTCAACACATTCATTTATTCCCTTCTCTTCACTTCTAATTTGTAGGTTATTTGGTCACCTACCAAAACGGAAATTTTTCTTGCATTTATAAACAACATTTTAAATTAGTTTTAAATAAAAAATTAAATTTTTATTCTTTAAATTATGTAACTTTGATTATTTTATAAATCTTTTATCTTTCAACCGTTTCAAAAACCATTTTAACTTTTTTTTTTTAAGTTGCAATTTTTCCTTTTCTATTTTTGCCATTGCCGAAATGGCCAACACATGACCATGGCCAAGTATGAGCTATGGCGCAACACTCTAAAATTTAAATGATATAATCTCTCTTAAGAAGTTTAAAAATGGGAAATGTTGTTTTCGATCCCTAAGTTATATATACTTCCAGGCCCGAACATGGGACTAATTCAGATTTGACTCGAGAACTGAATCTTGAACCTTACAGTTACATTAATAGTACACTCACTAACTATACTAAATTGTAGGGTAGTCATTTGATATAATAATGATGGAATAAGGTTCAAATTGATCACTGAACGTAACCTGAAAATGCAATTAGGCCACTGAACGAAAAAAAAAAAAGTGCAATTAGGCCACTGAACACTCCAAATGTATGCAATTTCACCTGATAACAAGTTACCATCAATTTTAGCAGGTTACCGGTTTACGTGACAGCTGAGTTCGACATTTTTAATAATTTTTAAAAAATTTTAATAATAATTTTTTAAAATAAAATAAAATAAAATAAATGACGGGTGGCGCAGCCACCCCGTCGTTTATTTTTATTTAATTTTTTTAAATTTATTATTAAAATTATTGTTATTAAAAATGTCAACTCAGTTGCCACGTAAGCAGGTAACCTGCTAAAATTGATGGTAACCTGCTATCCGGTGAAATTGCATACATTTGGAGTGTTCAGTGGCCTAATTGCACTTTTTTTTTTTTTTTTTCGTTCAGTGGCTTAATTGCATTTTCAGGTTACGTTCAGTGGCCAATTTGAACCTTATTCCAATAATGAAAAATGCGTATGGGCTGATAGTAAAGATATGAATAGGCCAGACCCTTTTGTAGGGGCCTATGACCTGACCTAATTAAGGCTTAGTTAGGCCTGACTTGTTTAGTAAAAAGGTTTGGTTCTTACCCATTTCAAAGCCAATTAAACTAAATAGGACAGACCTATATATACCATGCCCGACCTTCTGGCCTACATGCCTGGCCTTGGCAAATTTTACTGTGGACCATGGTCTATGTAGCATCATGGACCATGAAGTATGTATCATTTTAATTATAATGCGTATGAGCTGATAGTAAAGATATGAATAGGCCAGACCCTTTTGTAGGGGCCTATGACCTGACCTAATTAAGGCCTAGTTAGGCTTGACTTGTTTAGTAAAAAGGTTTGGTTCTTACCCATTTCAAAGCCAATTAAATTAAATAGGACAGACCTATATATACCACGCCCGGCCTTCTGGCCTACATGCCTGGCCTTGGCAAATTTTACTATTGACCATGGTCTACGTAGCATCACTACTGGAAATTCTGAAATTTCCAACCACCTGAAAGTGATCATAAATCAAGTTGAAAGTCTTGTTCCGACCACTTTTGGTATCCGGAAAAACCTTTGTTGCTATTTCCGACCACTTTTTGGATTTTTTGGTATCAACTTAATTTAAGATCATTTTCAGGTGGTCGGAAATTTCAGAATTTCCAGTAGTGCATCATGGACCATGAAGTATGTATCATTTTAATTACACTTCAGTTTCATTTGACAATATTATTATGTTTTTAGTTTCATTTTTTCTCCACACTAGTTTCATTATAGTAATACTAAAGTATTATTTTAATTATACTATAGGTTCATTTGATACTATACATTATTGCTTGAACTCTATTTTTTTATTTCATTTTTCACACACACTAGTATAATTATAGTAATGTTGAAGTATTATTTTAATTGCACTTTAGGTCAATTGACAATATATGTTATTGCATGACTCTGGATTTTAGTTTCATTTTTCATGCACACTAGTTTCATTATAGCAATACTAAAATATCATTTTAATTATACTACAGTTTCATTTGACAATAATGCGCAATGTTTTTTAGTTTCATTTTTCACATACACTAGTTTCATTATAGTAACATTAAAGTATCATTTTAATTCTACTACAGTTTCATTCCACAATCATGATCCATACAGCGTGTCAACCATGGTCCACTGTATAACAATTGCCTGGCCTATGTATATAATAAATAGAAATAAATTTCCACTGATGTGAAAGCCTTAATATATAAGTCAAGAAGAAGAAAGCCCTCGTTTCCTCTCCTCTCACAGTCACTTACATAAATTATTTTCCACCTTCAATTCAGAAGTACACTCATCATCATCATCTTCTTCATCTTTCTGGCAAAACTCTCTTTAATTTTCTGAATCACATATGGCTGCATCTCCTCTCCCCCTTATCATAATCTCTGCCTAGCCAAAACTTGCAGCCTAAATAGAGTAAACAAAATTAACAAAGGAGATCATCAGAGATGGGAAGATCACCTTGCTGTGACAAAAACAATGTGAAGAGAGGGCCATGGTCTGCAGAAGAAGATGCCAAGTTAAAGGCATTCATTGAGCAGCATGGCACTTGTGGCAATTGGATTTCTTTGCCACAAAAAATTGGTACCAAAACCCTTAACTTTTCATTTTCTTTCTTTCTTTCTTTCTTTCTTCTTAGTTAAAAGTGCTGTAATGTTGGGCGGAGGCCTGAAAGGACAAATCTAGAGCTCTGCCTATCGAAAATATGACGGGTATAAGAAAATAAAGTAACTGTAATTTTTTGCATAGTGATAAGCGTTTGATCCTAACAAGTGGTATCAGAATTAGGTTACGGATTTGAGTCCCAGCAAGGGGAAGCTTGATCCTAACATGTAACGTGTTAACCGATTATTGATTTGATCATATGTGTTGTTTTGTGGGAAATTGACTAGGGCTTAAGAGATGTGGGAAGAGTTGTCGTCTTAGATGGCTGAACTATCTCCGTCCAAATCTCAAGCATGGAGGATTCTCAGAAGAAGAAGATAAAATAATCTGCAGCCTCTACATAAGCATTGGGAGCAGGTAATTAGTTAAAATTAAAATTATTTTATTAATTACCTAGAACTGTTCTTTCAATTTAATCTTAATTTAAAACCATAATGTTGGACTTGGACCAGATGGTCTATAATTGCAGCACAGCTCCCTGGAAGAACTGATAATGACATAAAGAATTACTGGAACACTAAGCTCAAGAAGAAGCTCTTTGGCAAGCAGGTCAATGACCATGGCCACAGCCTTAGGGCTAACCAAAGGTCAAACCTGCAGCCAGAAATGGTCTCGTGTGGGCCCGCGTCCTCGTCCCCGAGTAATATAAATATTTATCAAAATCCTAGTTGTCACGAACTAGTACCGGTTGCGATGCAACCGGTCCCATACCCGAAGGAAGAGCCGGGTTTCAAGGACCCTGCTCATCTGACAGATACTTTACCCGTTGTCAACTCTATTTTATCAAGTACAGGTATGGAGGATTGTTTGATCAATCAAATGGTGTACAACGTTAATCCGCAAAACTTGGAGGGTGTCGAGTTCTTGTGTGACAACATATTCTATAATTGGAAAGTGGGGAGTAGTAGTAGCACTGCAGGAGGCATGGATTGGAATGAGATTAATGAGATGCAGTCTTTGGTGCCATCCCCTCCTTCTCCTCTAGCTTCGAGTTACGAAGGTCTTGAACCAACCGGGAAACAATGTGCATACTTCAAGACATAACTAGTTGAATTATGGGATTTGTACATTAGTTGTTAATTGCTGTTTGCTTTAAAAAAATTTAAGGTGTCATTTGAAATTCGTGTCAATTTGTACTAGGTACAACTATGTATATATACATGATTGTATTAGAGACTATTGAAAGTAATTACTAATAGGATACAATCATATATGATATACATGATTGTACCGGATACAGTTGACACTGCTTCTGATCAACATTACATAAGTTATTTGGCAGTTGTAGAATTGGATTGTTAATCATTGTGGAAACCCTAAATAAATTGTTCATCGGTATGTTCATTTTCTCTTCAATAACTTGAATAATTTAGAGACAATTAGAGCTATATATATAATTGTCCTTTTTGTAATGGAATAACGTTTCAATTCATTAGTATTATGTTAATTATATTACATGAGTTTCGTTTGTCTAGTTTATTCAATTCTAGTGGTGAATTTGCTTGGATATAGATTATTGTTTATTTGGTTATGGATAGAGGGCTAGATCTTGCATTTTTGCCATCGAAAATGCATTTGCTATTAGTTATAACTTTTGGTAAAATGGTAAACGTTTAATCCTTAAATGAATATTAATTTAAAGTTATATTGATGTATGCAAATTGGATTTTCTATTTGTTATACTTTATAGAATACTAATGCGAAATTGACAGCAATCTTTATCAATAACAATAAACAAAAGAGAGTCAGTTTCTCTATTATTACACACCGTGTTAAAAATGTATTAAAATATATATATACGCACATTCTGATTTATGGGAACCAACTAAAGTTCGATTTTTTGCATAACGAAACAATGACAATTCTAACATGGATACAATTATTCCGAAGGTCACAACTAATAAGGTGTAAGAAAAATAAATAGCCGTATTATATATGTTGTACTGTGAAACAAAATGTTGGCTGACCAAATACGGAATATAATTAAAGAGAGTTGATTACAGTTGTTAAGTACATAGTACAATTTGGACTAGGTAATGATTTTGGAGCTGACTTTGGATCCTAAATGTCACTTGTATTTGGTAAGGCTAAGGTCATAGTTTGTTATAAATTGGTTGACATACATAATCCTGAAGGAGATCCAGCTAGCTATCTAGCTGGTTTTTCTTCACTACAACCCTCAAGCACTCTATAGCTATAACCAATTTAAGTATAGCTACTTGTGATCACATGCATTATTTTTTTCTCTACTTTTCTTCATGGTAACTTAAGCTAATTTGAATGTGATTTTAGATTAAGGATTCACAATGCAAAATGGATCTTGATCCATGATATAATTTGTCATGATTTACTTTGTCTAAAGCATGGGACACAAATGACAAATTATACCATGGACCAGGGTCTACCTTGCATTGTGGATCCTGATTCAAAATAACCTTCAAATTATGTATTTGTAGTTGACATATTTTGTATCGACAGGCTACAGTTATTGATTTTTGTACAAGTAAATAAATTGAAGGTATACAACATGTTAATTACAGACACATAAAATGACAACTACATATACATAAACTGTTAACTACATGCAGCTACATAATATGTTAACTGCAGACACATAAGATACAAATATATTATGTCTATAGTTAACATATTTTATACATGATGTTAACAATTTATTGTCAGTAGTTACCATTTTATGTGTTTTTAGTTAATATATTATGTGCCTTCAACTTATTTACATGTACAAAAATGATTAACTGCAAATACAATATGTCAAACTGTAGACACGTAATTTTTAGATTGGAATCCACAATGTAAGATAAATCCTGATGTATGGTACTATGGTATAACAATTGACAAAAATGTACTTCCAAGTTTGGGTTGCATCAATTACCAAATATGATTTATTTAAAATGAGCCCAACATATTGAGTTGGATACAATTATTCCCAATTGTTATGCCATGGACGCCGGTCCACCTTACAAGGTAGACTCAGGTCCAAAACGACGCAGCTTTGTGTGTTTGGAGTAATAGTGTTGTTAGTGGCATCGTTTCCTCAGCCAATGATATATTTTTTTGTGAATATAGAGTTCAAAAATTGTAAATATAGAGTTCAAAAATTGTGCTATACTGTTGATATAATTGTGAATATAGAGTTCAAAAATTGCGACTATAGAGTTCTGTAATTGTAAATATAGAGTTCTGTAATTATGAATATAGAGTTCTTTAATTGCGAATATAGAGTTTTGTAATTGTGGATATAGAGTTCAAAATTGTCAATATATAGTACAATTTTTATTTTTATTTTTAATTCAGACGACGTCGTTTTGAAAATATATTGTATATAAAATGAAACTACAGTGTTGGAAAAAAATGAAACTACGGTGTTTTTAAGTAAAGAAACGACTGTCGTTACAGCTTAACGGAGCCCGTATTTTTTGTGTTAGTTACAAAATGAAACTACAGTGTATCTAAAATTAAACTGCCTCACATATTGTTTTTATATTATCAAATGAAACTATAGTTGAATTGAAATGAAACTGTCGTTGTGTTGAAATGAAACTGCAGTATTTATAAAATGAAACTGAATAACAGTTTCGCATATTTGAGTGTATAATGTCGAATGAAAATGTAGTTATATCAAAATGAAACTGTAGTTGTGTTGAGATGAAACTACAATAATGTATATAAAATGAAACTGAATAACAATTTCACATATTTGAGTGTATATTGTCCAATGAAATTGTAGTTATATCGAAATGATAATGTAGTTGTGTTGTAATGAAACTATAGTGTATATAAATGAAACTGAATAACAGTTTCACATATTTGAGTGTATAATGTTGAATGAAATTGTAGTTATATTGAAATGAAACTGTACTTGTGTTGAAATGAAACTACAGTGTATATAAAATTAAACTGAATATGTTATACAAACAGAGTTACTTTTTTGCGGAATGACGGGGAACAAGTACCGTTTCTTTTCATTAAAAGAAACGGCACCGTTTTGATGTCTGAACAACAATGCATTATGCATGGCCGCGGCCACAGTGAAATTTGCCCTACAATGTAAGGTGGGTCATTGTCTACAATCGTTATGCCATGGAACCGTGTTCACCATCCATTGTGAATACGGTCCCAACGGTGTTAGTGCACCGTTATCTTTTTTTTTTTTTTTTTTCCTTAATTAATCGCGTGACTTTTCTTCTTCATTTTCACATTTCGCGGTTTCACTTTAATTTGAGGTGAGCAATGATTTCGGACATTCATAAATTATGAATCCATGCCTGCACATTCACTTTGGAACCATGCCTACACATTCCCGTCCGAAACCATTGCTGCTCCTCTGTAGCGCAAGCTTCTTCAACATTCATAAATTATGAATTTTTTGTTATGAGATTATGAATTTTCTGTTATGAGATTATGAATTTTCTGTTATGAGATTATGAATTTACAGTAAATTCATAATCTCATAACAGAAAATTCATAATTTCTAATAAATGTTTTTTTTATGCGATTATGAATTTTCTGTTATGACTTATGAGATTATGAATTTACAGTACATTCATAATCTCATAACAGAAAATTCATAATCTGACCAAACGCGCGCCGTTAACACCACATAAGCGATTTTTTTTTTTTTTTTTTTTTTTTTACGTAAAAACGACGCCGTTTAGACCCGTGTTCACCATTCACGTTTCCCGGGGCATAATTTACCCATTGTCTATGATATAACAATTTCAGGCAGCTAGGCTAGGCCTACTTTGAGCTCTATGGGCTGAACTATTAGCGAGGGTTGGGCTTCCTTTAACTTGGAGTTTTATCTCACGGCTCACACAAGCTTTGAAGAGAGAAATATAAAAGCCGAAAATCCAGAGATTCAGAGAAGAAGAGGAGTTATTCACCAAAAAAAAAAAAAAAAAAACCGAATAGCTATTTTGATTCAGCTTATGTGTCTGTAGTTAACATGTGATGCGTCTTCAATTTTTTTTATAATCTACACACATAATCTGTAGGTTAATTATTTTAGATCATGATCTACCATACAAGATAAACAACGCTGGTATATGGTATAATTTGCCACACATTACTGGTAATCCATGTTGAAAGGGTCAAGCTTTTGGATAATTTAATTAATTTGTTATACGAGGCAGGAGAAGAGAGTCATCTTCTTGGAAGAATTAATGGTGGCGGTCAAGAGAACAGTTGGCATGCATAATTAGGTTTCAGGTCAAAGTCTGGTCGGTTAAGATAATACATAAGGTGATAGCGCCTCTTGTGGAGGATAATTATATTCACATAGATTACGACACAAACGTCTAAGAAGTTGGAAATTCTAGTTTTTTTTTTTTTTTTTTTTTTTTTTTTTTTTTAACAAATTCTAGTTAATTAATATATTATGTACTTGTAGTACCAATATTATTTATGATTGTGTAAAAAAAAATAATGCCACTAAATGCATTGTTTATGTGAATCGTAAGTAAATAAACTTAAAAGTTAAAGATTCATAAATTGCGTGTTTGACCGCTAATCGCGATTAAAAATTATCAAGTTTTTATTAAGGATTTAAAGTATTGATTTATAACATGTATTTGGTTAAAAAATCTTTGGCAAATGTTCATAGGGGAGAATTACTTGATTGGCCAAAACACTTCAACATTACCAATGAATTGAAACTGCTAGAGGGCTTTTGTATTTGTAACATTTTGTTAGTTATTGATACAAACCCAAAAATATTAGACTTAGGATTGGCAAAGAGCATTAGATTACAATGAGATAATGGAAGCAAATACAAATCAAGTTACTAGAACACATTAAGATTTTAATTTCATAATTATGCATTCATTTAATTGTTTGGTTTTTGATCATTGAACATAACAAGTTAAATTTCCAAACACATTGGTTATATATCTCCTCGAACACAGGCTCTTCTATCTCTATTAAATTAGATGGGTTATGCTTTGTTGTCTTGGTACTAGAAATTATATTGTGAGTGAAAAAAAGAAGAAGAAGTAATTTTCTCATAATTATCAAGATCACTACGAGAACCTTCTTGGTTATGTATGTCTCATTTTAAAGCATATCACCATTTATTCATTAATGCTTGAATTGAAGTCTTAATCAAGTAATTCATCTAAACTACACATGTATGAAATTAAAGCTATATAGAGATGGTAGATTGATTGAATATTTGAATATGTAGATGAGCATATGGATAAACCGGCCACGTGATTTTCTGCGAGTTCTAGGATCAATTTATATTGGCCTCTTATGTGGTCAATACTACCCTATAAATCAACCAAATTAAACATGTTTTCCATATATAGTACATATGCTGGCTAACAATGTCGAGTTGCCCATTGCTAAAGAGTATGATTTTTTCACATAAAGAATGGTAGTTGAAGCCAATTCTTCTTAAAACAAAGAAATAACATATTCCATAAAGGGATAATTGTAAAAAATGCCCCTCTATAATATGTGAATTATCAATGTCACCCCTGAATTATGAGTGGTGTAAATGTTGCCCCTCAATTATCAAAAAGGTGTACATATAGCCCCTCCCGTAACGGACATGTGGTTCCCCGTTAGTGTACGACACCGTTAAGTCGAAGTAAATATGTAATTTAGTTGTTTTTTCCCTCCCTCGATTCAAAGTACCAGCAATGGACAGCGGTGGGAAACTACATGTCCGTTACGGGAGGGGCTATATGTGCACCATTTTGATAATTGAGGGGCAACATTTACACCACTCATAATTCAGGGATGACATTAATAATTGACATATTATAGAGGGGCATTTTTTACAATTTTCCCTTCCATAAATGAAGTCACCATTACATTGTTATATAGGGAAAACTTCTAGAATTAAATTAAAGATAAACTAAATTTATTCGTGATGATGTGGTATGTAGAATTGCCCAACCTAATACTCTTTTACCATTCAATGGCAATGATTATAAATGAATTATTCATTGTTTCTTAAATAGAATTGTATTCTTAAGTTAGTCATGAGTGATGAATTGAAAGAAAAAAAAAAAAAAACAATTTCTAGCATTACTCATGTTTTATATTATATAGATATAAAGGAGGTCAAAGGCAATAGACACATCAGCAAGCTGTCAGAGTTTGCAGTGTGGTAGTTAATTGGCTGACATATGTTCCTCTAATATATATATATATATATATATATATATATATATATATATATATATATATACACACTGTTTTTTCTTTGAAGGGATAGATACACTGTTTGCTCCTTCGTATATTCAATTATTTTTTCAATATAATAAACAGAGCCTTTCCCCCCTCTCTCTTATATATCCGAGGATATGGTCCAACGTCAACATTATAGTACCATAACATTTTAACTGTTTAAATATCGACGGCTTCCCAATTATTAGTTGAAAAAAAAAAAAAAAAAAAATCGCCGGAAGATTGCATATCCCCGACGACCGGAACACGAGCTTTTATCATGCAGCTACAGCTTTGAACAAACAAATCAAATTAAGTAATATATATTGGGGGAGGGGGGAGAGGTGGTTCCTCAGTACTTATTTCAATGATTAATTTCGATTTGTTCCGTATGTCATTGCGTCGACAGTGGGGGGTGTGCATTTTTATGCTCTATCGTGTACACTTTGGTATGCATCGAACGAATGCACACTATTACTAGTGTTTGCACTTGCGTTGTGTACATGTAGGCTGTTTGAGGTTTTGTGCACTCATGTGGTCGTTTTTGTGCATTCCACATGGGATGACGTGCATTTATTCTTATATTTTATCACATTTTGGACATGTGTTGCGTTGTTGTTCTGTGATTTTAGAGGAAATTTCAATTTTGGTCATATGACTATAGGGGTCTTGTTAATTTCAGTCACTGACTTTTAAAAATGTTAATTTAGTACTTTAGCTATGCAAATTTTGTCAATTTTAGTCACTCCGGTCAAATTGCCGGCCAAATTTCGCGGAAAAATTTTAATAGTTAAAATAATTAGTATATTTTGGTCGTTTCACGCCCCTTTTCTTCTTCTCCGGCGAGTCCATATCTTTCTGTTCCATTTTCGGCGTTTTTTCTCCTTCTAAACCCTATCTTTAATATCATCAAGTCTCATTTCCCCATCATCTTAGTTCATTGCATTCACCGGAAACGGGAGAGGAAGGGATGAACTCGCTTGGGAAGAAGAAAAGAGACGTGAAATGATCAAAATATCCTCATTATTTTAACAATTAAAAGTTTCCGGCGACATTTGGCCGGAGTGACCAAAATTGACAAAAATTGCATAGTTAAGGTACTAAATTGATAGTTTTAAAAGTCAAGGACTGAAATTAACAAGACCACTATAGTCATATGACCAAAATTGAAATTTTGTCGTGATTTTATTTTTGTGCATTTGTGTGTCGCGTTTTCACAGTCACTTAAAAATGCCCAAAGTATCGAAATATGTTAATCATTTGCCATTTGTCCATTTTCTCGTAGTGGGATACTAACAAAATGTGTTCCTAAAATGCACAAAACATTACAAACAAGTGCACACTGACCATCTTTCCTCAGCCCCAAACCCTGTCCACCTTCCCTCGTCATGCCAATGGACAAACAACTTAAAATGCATACAACATATTACAAACAAGTGCACATTATCTATCTTCTCCCAAACCCAACTTCTTTTTGCCTCTCCCTGGCACCACGACCAAACAAACACCCATGAAAAATGACAATGGACAACAACCTAAAATGCACAAAATAGTATAAACAAGTGCACGTTATCCATAATGCCTATATAAATCAACATCATACTCCAAATTATCAAAACGATGTCCAATAAAAGGCTTGATAGACTTGTCAAAAGTTGGTGACTAGTACTTCGTTTCACCAGGCGAAGTATCCATAACACATTTGTCAAGTGCACCCGATTGAGCTCTATGCGCTGAAAAAATGAAAACAATCACAAAACACAAGTAAGAAACACCACCAACTCTACAGAGCAGCTCCCAAAACCCATCGTTACTCTACAATGCACAAAATGGACCAAACAAATGCACACACCATACATAAGAATTGAAACACGAACCACACTACACCACAACTGGAAAAATCTGCACCCCTGCAATGCACAAAATAGACAAAACAACAGCACACGAACCACCAACCACACCCTGACAGGTCCACCGAGGACCCAGACATTGTGAAATGCACAACCACTCTATCGGAACCCAAAACCATAATAATGCACACAAAGACCCACCCAAATGAACACAAGCCACCAAATAATGCACACACCGGCCAGATCAAACAAATGCACACTACACAGTAACTACCCCACCTTCCTCCCAAACCACGCACCTAGGCCCATTGTGCCGCCGAACACCAGACTCCTACCGGGAAAAAAAAACAGACAAACACATGGAACCATCGCACAAAGACCAGAACCACACCGCAACACCCTAGTTCCAACAAAATTAAACTATACAATACTATACAAGAACAACACAAAAAAAAAAAAAAAGAAAAAAAGAAAAAAAGGAACAAACATATGTCACCGGCGACTCCATCGGAACAAACAACATAACAACAGACAAACAAAAACAATGTGATGGCGAAGAAGAAAAAAATATCTGCAAAGAAAGAGAAGCATTGTCGAAAAGAGAATAAAATCGTACCAAAATTGCATCTCCTAAAATCATGCATAACATCCACAAATAATAATATCAGGATTCTATATGCTCACAAAATTACTATATATATATATATATATATATATATATATATATATATATATATATATATATATATTTTTTTTTTGGATCCGGTGAGGTTACCTTTGTCAGGCGAGGTGGTGAGGCTTGATCTGGTACGTCTATTTGTTTTTTTGGACGGATGAGATTTGGCTTATTAGATTGGCACGTGCGTGAGATAAGTGTGCATGTGGGGGCTTTGATGTCTTTTTGGTGGTGTCTTTATTAGGTTGTAATAATTGATTAGCAGATGTTATGGGCTTGTGCAGTGCTAATTATGGTTTTTATCCGATGATATATTATTTCAGATTGCCGTCTCTTCGCATTCTTCTTCTTTTCGTCCGTCCGTTCTTCTCCTACAGTTCAGACTGCATAGCGTATAGTTCTAACTTGCACATGGTTAAAACCTAGCATGCACAGGCTATAGTTCTAACTTGCACATGGTTAAAACCTAGCATGCACAGGTTGAGAATATAACGCTCAAAACCTTTCATTCTTACTTGCCCAGGCTAAGCACTATAGTCGCAAAGGCTAACCCTCAAACTTGCACAAGCATCAACCAAACATGCATATTCTTATACAAACCCCCACCATGTTTTTTTCCCCAATGTCTCGTTAGCTAACCACATATCATATCAAAACACAATGTCTGATTGCCTATTCAACTTTTTAAAACTCGTGCGGTATATACTCAACGTAATGTGATTTGTATTAAACTCCTCCCTCATGCACTCATTAGACCCACGTGTTATTAACTGCACACACTTCGGTTTCTCAAGGCACGGACTTGACATACGAAAAGCCAATAAGCATTTCTAATACGGTTGCACATACCTCTTTCCGTTTGCGCCATCACTGTTGCTTTGAGAAACCACCGTTGCACTGTGTTGCTGATTACCAAATGCTTAAATTCAACTCTCACAATATCAATACTAATTTATTGCCGTTAACATATAATTCAATCCTATAATCAGTTGATCCTTTGCATGGAATATATTCCAATTTATTTTTAACCATAAATAACTCCAATATTACAATTACTTATTCACCCTTATGCATAGACTACTACCTTAAATGCAAAACAAATCTCTTTCAATCTCACCCTTTTATATGTAATGATTTAATGGATGAGGTGAGGCCTCATGATCTCACCCATCTATGTCACCTCATGGGATCGGATTCGGAGCCATATATATATATATATATATATATATATATATATATATATATATATATATATATATATATATATATTTGATGAAGGCAGTCTGTCAAATCCAAACAAAGATATGGAATGAATTAAAAAAAGCAATACTAGACTAGTTAATTTATTATTTATGTCAGGTTTCTTTGATCATACTAAAAAAATGAATATACAAAGAAAAAATTCCATCAGATTGAACCAAACATAATAATAAGAAGAAGAAGAAGAAGAAGAAGAAGAAGAAGAAGAAGAAGAAGAAGAAGAAGAAGAAGAAGAAGAAGAAGAAGAAGAAAAGCTAGATTAGGAAGCTTTTCTCAATGGGAGCTCTTCTACTTTTATTAGCGCTCTCATTTTCAGTTCATAAGATGTCACTTGCAAGGGATACCATTAGCTCCACTCAGTCCCTCAAATATGGTGACACCATTGTTTCTTCTGGTGGAATCTTTGAGATGGGCTTTTTTAGCCCTACCAATAATCCTTCTCACAATAACATCTATGTTGGCATATGGTTCAAGCAAATGTCTATTCGCACTGTAGTTTGGGTTGCCAACAGAGACACTCCCCTCACTAATACATCATCAGTAGCCTTGCAGATCATCAGTCCAGGCCGGCTAGCTCTAGTCGATGGCAACGGTTCTCAAATCTGGCGTACTAACATCACTTCCGGTTCAGTTCAGAATAATCCAGTTGCAAAGTTACTGGATTCTGGGAATCTGGTGGTGAAGGATGCCAATGCCAATTTCCTGTGGCAAAGTTTTGATTATCCAACTGATACTCTATTGCCAGGCATGAGAATTGGGAAGAATTTGGTTACTGGTCTTGAGATTAGTGTGTCAGCATGGAAGACAGAAACTGATCCAGGTCCAGGACAATATAGGACTTCCTTTGATCCTACAGGGTTTCCACAAATTGTGTTCTGGAAAGGTGGAAACAAAATGTATCGATCCGGTCCGTGGACTGGTTCGAGCTGGAGAGATCTACAAAAATGGGGTCTATTTGTTGAAACTTCAGTAATCATTAATGCAACTGAGGTTATGACAAGGCAGTTTTCTAACACCTCAAAATTAATCAGGTTTGTCCTCACAAGCTCCGGGACTTTACAATTGGATATAGGGGAAAATGGGACAGGTAAATGGAACAGTTTCCCTCTTGTACCAATAGATGGTTGTGATAAATATGGAATATGTGGTCCCTATGGGAATTGTGACAATAACAAAAACCCTGTTTGTGGATGCCTGGATAAATTTGTGGCTAGAGATCCAGTAGAATGGGGAAGTTCAGATTTCTCAGGGGGGTGTGTTCGAAGGAAACCTCTGAATTCATCATCCTCAGATGGCTATGGATTCAAGAGATACTCAGGTGTTAAATTGCCAGATACAAATGTTTCAACATTCCATAAGAATATGACCCTTCAAGAGTGCAATCATGCTTGCTTCAACAATATCTCTTGCATGGCTTATTCAACTCTAATTATAAGCAACGGAGAAAATGTCTGCTTGCTTTGGTTTGATGATTTGATGGACATTAGAGTGGTAGTCATACCTGAGGACGGCCAAGATCTTTACATTAGGATGGCTTCTTCTGATTCAGGTAACAATTTATTATGGGATGTTTTGTAAATAGTTGTTAGCGAATAACTGATAGATGATTGGGTTAGTGAGTTTGACTAGTTGATAGCATCTGATTGTAGAAAAGTGTTTTGTAAATTAATTGTTAGCTGATATCGGATTAAATGCAAAATGACTTTCTCAAAAGCTGATCGAAAAAATCACCGTGAACAGCTTTTTTGAATTTTAGCATTTTGGAGCAATAAGTTGTTATAAAAAGCTAATTAATCAAATAGTTAATAGTGGTCAAAAATAGTCAAAATTAACTGATAAGCTAACTATATTACCAAATAGGGCCCATATTATGAATATTCAGCTAAAATAATATCATGCGTCTCCTTTTTCATTCCCTCTCTCTTTTTTGGTAGATTATCCATCAAGATCAAAGGGCAAGAAATTAAAAATTATAAAATTGAGTTCATCAATATTGGGTGGAATTCTGGTGCTGAGCTTGGCCTCGACTCTGATCATAATATTGTATCGACGAAAAAGGGAGAAGATCCATTTAAACTTGAAATGGGAAGAAGATCAAACATTATTTGAAGTATTGACAATAACCAGAGCTACTGATAACTTTTCACCAGAGAACAAGATTGGAGAGGGAGGATATGGACCTGTTTACAAGGTAACATAATATTATTATACCAAATTATATTCATCACTTTCTATAGCCTAAACATTATAATCCATTTACAGGGTGTTCTGGATGATGGAAAGGAAATAGCCGTGAAGCGACTTTCAAAGACATCTAAGCAAGGGCTTGGAGAATTTAAAAATGAAGTCAATTCTATTGCCAAACTTCAACATAGGAATCTTGTGAAACTTCTAGGATGGTGCATTCAAGGAGATGAAATGATGTTGATCTATGAATATATGCCAAACAAAAGCCTTGACTCATATATATTTGGTATGATATTCAATTCCCATCTAAATTCTAATCATGTCTATTTTTACATTTGATCACTTCATCAATGCCATATTGGATTTTGAATATTTTCCTTCATAGGATTCTTTTAACCAAGAAAATATGTGCTTGGAATTGAGAGTACACTTTAGGATGATTTTTTTTTTTTTTTCCATTTTAAATAGACATGTACGTGATTTGTATAAAAATCTTTGGCAGATACTCAAAGGAGATCATTTCTTGATTGGCCAAAACGCTTTAACATTATTAATGGAATTGCTAGAGGCCTTTTGTATTTGCACCAAGATTCTCGACTAAAAATTATTCATAGAGATCTCAAAGCTAGCAACATTTTGTTGGATATTGACATGAACCCAAAAATATCGGACTTTGGCTTGGCAAGGAGCATTGGATTAAATGAGACAGGAGCAAAAACAAACCGAATTGTTGGAACGCTGTAAGATTTCAATTTCGTTTTGCATTAATTTGTTGGCATTTTGATCATTCAACCTGACAAATTAAAATTTCAAACACAGTGGTTATATGTCTCCGGAGTACGCAGGACATGGGATCTTCTCTACTAAATCAGATGTGTTCAGTTTTGGTATCTTGGTACTAGAAATTGTGAGTGGGAAAAGAAATAGGGACTTTTCTCAACACCAAGATCACTATGAGAACCTTGTTAGCCATGTATGTCTCATTTTGAAGCATATTTATTTATTCGTTAACATTTTAAATAAAGTGTTTTACAATAATTCATCTTTATGATAATAGGCATGGAAGCTTTATAGAGATGGTACATCAATTCAACTTGTAGAACATCATCTAGATGAACCACATAATTTGCTTCAAGTTCTAAGATCAATTCAAGTTGGGTTGTTATGCGTTCAACACTGCCCTGAAGATAGGCCAAGCATGTCTTCCATTGTTCATATGTTAGCTAATGATGTTCAATTACCCATTCCTAAAGAGCCAGGTTTCTTCACAGAGAAAAGGGTAATTGAACCCAGTTCTTGCCTAGACAAAGAAAAATCTTTTTCCATAAATGGACTCACCATCTCATCAGCGTTCCATCCTCGTTAAAAGTAATGCTTTTATAACTAAATATTTGTTTGTAATGGTGTGATATATAGGATTGTCTAACCTAATTCTCTTCTAATATTTAGTGGCAATGATGATAAATCAATTCAACATAACTGTCTTAGACACCCCATTATGCTTGTGATTGGAATGGTATCTTGAAATTGTATTCTTAAGTTTGTTTTTTGTGTAATATATACAATGCTTTGTTTATTATTTGGAAACAGACATTAGGTTATAGTAATTTGAATTTAATATAGTTGTAATGTAACATAAAAATATAAACTATAATATAAACATTTGAATGTTTGGATGCAAATTAAAATTTTGAATTTAGAGGCTACAAAGAGGGAGATATTCTATTTCGATGGAAAATTGTAGTTTATATCCCACTAGTATAGGTCAATTATCAATGTTGCTCCTCAATTCTACGCGATATAAATGTTGCCCCTAAATTGACGAAACGTGCCCATATATTGCCCCTAAATTGTTGAAACGTTGCCATGGCTGCCTTTGCAGGCTACTTTGGAACCAATACAATTGTTATACCATGGACCATGGTTCATATTGCATTGTGAACCCTGATACAAAAATTCTGTACCTACACTTAACAGTTTCTTTACATGTAAACAAATATAACTTGATAATTGCTTACACACAATATGATAGCTACATGTACAAAATGTGTCAACTATAAATACAGAATCTGACTTGATAATTGCTGACACATAATATGATAGCTACATGTACAAAAACTATCAACTGCATGCACATAATGTGTGAACTATAGATACATAATCTATCGTGTATACTTTGGTAGGCGTCGAACGAATGCACACTATTACTGGTGTTTGCACTTGCGTTGTGTACATGTAATTGTTTGAGGTTGTGTGCCCTCATGTGGCCATTTATGTGCATTTTACATGGAATGACATGCATTTATTCTTACATTTTATCACCTTTTTAACCTTTTGTATGTGTTGCGTTTTTGTTTGGTTGTTTTATTTTTGTGCATTTGTATGTTGCGTTGTCATAGTCACTTTAAAATGCCTAAAGTATTGAAATATGTTATCCGTCAAGTGCACCCGATTGAGCTCCATGCGCTGAAAAATTGAAAACAACCACAAAACACAAGTAAGAAACACCACCAACTCAACAGAGTAGCTCCTAAAACCCATCGTTACTCTACAAACTACACCACAGCTGGCAAAATCTTCACCCCTGCAATGCACCCGTCACCGACGACTTCATCCGAACAAACAACATAGCAACAGACGAACAAAAACAATATGATGACGACAAAGAAAAAAAAAATATCCATAGAGAAAGAAAAGCACTGTCGAAAAGAGAATAAAATCATACCAAAATTATGCCTCCTAAAATCATGCATAACATCCATAGATAATAATATCAGGGTTCTAAATGTTCAAAAAATTACTAATCTAACAATCATATCCGAATTCAAGATCAAAGGCTCACGTTACTACATTAGTCCCTGAGTTTTAATGTAGGATGGTTCTCATTTGATATATATAAGGCGGCCTGTCAAATCGAAACAAAGATACGGAATGAATTAAAAAAAAAAGAAGCAATATTAGACTAGTTAATTTATTATTTATGTCAGGTTTCTTTGATTATACTAAAAGAAATGAATACAATGTAAAGTTTTCCTAATTACATTATTATAATATTAGATTAAAGTTATAATAATTAAGGTAATCTATTGTGGTGCAACACTTCCATACATGCTTCTATTAATTAAGGTAATATTTAATTATAAAGGTAAGAAGTATAATTAGTAAAGGGATTTAGTTACCATATTGATGGAAATTAGATAAAGAGTCCCCTAGTCCTCTCACTGCTTAACAATTATTCCTCATACAACTTATACTGTTACTATGCCGCAGCAGTCTTGTATACATAACCTTCATCAATCTGAAGCTATGGCCGATGGCTGAAGGTTAGTACTTAAATAAGATCATCTATATCATGTACTGTGTACTGTGTCGTTCCTACGTGATTTATATGCTTACATACATCAGATTGAACCAAACATAAGAAGAAGAAGAAGAAAAGCTTTTCTCAATGGGAACTCTTCTACTTTTATTAGCGCTCTCAATATTTTCAGTTCATAAGATGTCACTTGCAAGGGATACCATTAGCTCCACTCAATTCCTCAAATATGGTGACACCATTGTTTCTTCTGCTGGAATCTTTGAGATGGGGTTTTTTAGCCCTACCAATTCTTCTCACAATATCTATGTTGCCATATGGTACAAGCAAACACCTATTCGCACTATAGTCTGGGTTGCCAATAGAGACACTCCCCTCAATAATACATCTTCAGTAGCCTTGAAGATCATCAGTCCATCCAGGCTAGCTCTTGTGGATAGCAATGGTGCTGATATCTGGCATACTAACACTTCCAGACTAGTCCCGAATCCGGTTGCTAAGTTATTGGATTCTGGGAATCTGGTGGTGACTGATGCAAATGATGATAACCCAGAGAATTTCTTGTGGCAAAGTTTTGATCATCCTACAGATACTCTATTGCCAGGCATGAAACTCGGGACGAATTTCGTTACTGGTCTTGAGATTAGTGTGTCAGCATGGAAGACAGAAACTGATCCAGGTACAGGGCAATATAGGACTACCCTTGATCCTACAGGGTTCCCACAAGTTGTGTTCTGGAAAGGTGGAAACAAAATGTATCGATCTGGCCCGTGGACTGGTTCGACCTGGAGAGATCTCGAAAAATGGGGTCTATCTGTTGAAACTTCAGTAATCATTAATGCAACTGAGGTTATGACAAGGGTGTTGGTTATTAACACCACAAAATTAATCAGGTTTGTGATTACAAGCACAGGGACTTTACAAATGGATATAGGAGAAAATGGGACAGGTAAATGGAACAGTTTCCCTCTTGTACCAATAGATGCTTGTGACAAATATGGAATATGTGGACCCTATGGGTATTGTGACAATAACAAAAACCCTGTTTGTGGATGCCTGGATAAATTTGTGGCTAGAGATCCAGTAGAATGGGGAAGTTCAGATTTCTCAGGGGGGTGTGTTCGAAGGACACCTCTGAATTATTCATCCTCAGATGCCCATGGATTCAAGAGATACTCAGGTGTTAAATTGCCAGATACGAATGTTTCAACATTCTATAAGAATATGACCCTTCAAGAGTGCAATAATGTTTGCTTGAACAATATCTCTTGCATGGCTTATTCAACTCTAATGATAAGCAATGGAGAAAATGGGTGCTTGCTTTGGTTTGATGATTTGATGGACATTAGAGTGGTAGTCATACCTGAGGACGGCCAAGATCTTTACATAAGGATGGCTTCTTCTGATTCAGGTATATCACAATTTATTATATCATCGATATATATTCGATCTGAAATGTTGAGAGTGTTTGATAAATAGCTGTTAGCTAATAACTATTAGTTGATTGTATTAGTGGGTCTGTCATTGTAGAAAAGTATTTGGTAAATTAGCTATTATACCTGATTATATGCAAAATGATTTTCTCAAAAAAGTTGTTTTAAGCAGTTTTTTGAATTTTAGCATTTTAAAGCAATATGCTGTTATAAAAAGTTAATTAATCAAAAATTCATGTTGATTGTTTAGCAAGTTAGACAACTAATAGTGATTAAATAAGTCAAAATTTACTGATAAGCTAACTATGTTATCAATACCAACATCATGCACATCTCCTTTTTCATTTTCTCTCTCTTTTTGGTAGATTATCCATCAAGATCAGAGGGCAAGAAATTAAAAATTATAAAATTGAGTTCATCAATATTGGGTGGAATTCTGGTGCTGAGCTTGACCTCGACTCTGATCATAATATTGTGTCGACGAAGAAGGAAGAAGATCCATTTAAGGGTCCGTTTGGAAAGCTGGAAAATGACTTCTGGAAAATGAGTCATTTTCCAGAAGTCATTTTCCTTTCCTGTGTTTGGCTGAACAATGGAAAACTGTCTTTTGGTGTTTGGTTCATTTTCCAGAAAATGATGGAAAACTGTCTTTTGGTGTTTGGTTCATTTTCCAGAAAATGAACAGAATGGAATTGTTATTCGATAAATATATTTTTATTGTTTTTTGTATAATATAACAATTTTTATTTCAAATTCCATGCTACATAAATTTTAGTTGTATTTAATTCGAATGTCTTTGCTCTCAATCTATCTTTCTAGTATTCTAATAACGCTAATGCATTTGTTATCACCCTCACACAAGATACTATTTATGTAACTCTCTCGCTCATTATCTCTATTGACAATGTCATGTTCTATTTGGTTTCTATTCCTAAGTTGTTGTAATAGAAGAACTCCCATAGCTAGTATAGCACTTGCTGCACCCATAACAGTTGCACGCACATGATTTCTATCCATCTATACACAAAAAAAATGATAACAAATAACCACAATTAAAACTAACACATAGGTCATAACCACACAATAATTAGTGATCAAAATCAATAAACCAAATAAGCAGCAACCAAAGTGTATTATAAGCAGCAACCAATATACAAGTTCTTCAAGATCATGTATAATCAAATATACTGTATGTATGTGTTCAATGAAACCATCCATCTCAAAGTTAGAATAGCTATGTTTAAGATCATGTATAATCAAATCAAATCTACTGGCAATCAAATCTACTGGCATCAAATCTACTGGTATAGCAATCAAAGCATACAAGTTTTGAAAATTTTTTTTTTTCTTCACTGATTTCCCCGCCGGAAACCCACTGGTTTCCGGCGGGGAAACCAGCGAGCTCACTGGTTTCCCCGCCGGAAACCCACTGGTTTCCGGCGGGGAAACCAGTGAGCTCGCTGGTTTCCGCATCGGAAACCAGAGGCACTGGTTTCCCCGCCGGAAATCAGTGGGTTTCCGGCGGGGAAACCAGTGAAGAAAAAAAAAAAAAACAAACTCATAGATCTGAAAATCCATAGAAAAAAAAATTCAGGGTGTGTAGAGATGAGATATACCTCAATAGCTTTTCTAGTGTTGTTGAAGCTTTTGTGATTATGGATTGATGGAGGAGGAAGTGTTGGTGAGTTGTATTGCAAATGTTGAAGAGGAGGAAGCTCTGTTGAAAATGGGAAGAAAAGAAGATGGAAGGAAAATGACTTCCCCCAAAAAAAAGGGGAAGTCATTTTCCAGAAAATTGCCTTCCTTTTCCATTGACTTCTCCTCATTTTCCTTTGACCAGTCATTTTCCAATGTAGCCAAACACCAAAAACCCGGAAAATGACTTCCAGAAGTCATTTTCCGGGTTTCCAAACACACCCTAAACTTGAAATGGAAAGAAGATCAAACATTATTTGAAGTATTGACAATAAATAGAGCTACTGACAACTTTTCACTAAGGAACAAGATTGGAGAGGGAGGATATGGACCTGTTTACAAGGTAACATAATATTATTATACAAAATTATATTCATCACTTTCTAGAGCCTAAACATTCCATTTGCAGGGTGTTCTAGATGATGGAAAGGAAATAGCTGTGAAACGACTTTCAAAGACATCTATGCAAGGGCTTAGAGAATTTAAAAATGAAGTCAATTCTATTGCCGAACTTCAACATAGGAATCTTGTGAAGCTTCTAGGATGGTGCATTCAAGGAGAAGAAAAGATGTTGATCTATGAATATATGCCAAACAAAAGTCTTGACTCATATATATTTGGTATGGTATTCAACCCCCATCCATTTAAATTTTAATTAACTCTTTCTTCAAATACTACCGACTGAACTAGTAAGCTAAGTCCGTGCGAGAAACTCTATAATTATGTCTAATCACTTTTCATCAATGTCAATTTATGATTTTAAAATTTTCCTTGATAGCATTCTTTTAAGCAAGAAAATGTGTGCTTGGAAGAGTGGAAAGTTTCCTTCTTAGATTTTTTTTTTTTTTTAATTATAGAAGAATATACATAACTAAATTGCATTAATATCTTGGGCAGATAATAAAAGAAGAGCATTACTTGATTGGCCAAAACGCTTCAACATTATCAATGGCATTGCAAGAGGACTTTTGTATCTGCACCAAGATTCTCGATTAAAAATTATTCATAGAGATCTCAAAGCTAGCAACATTTTGTTAGATATTAATATGGACCCAAAAATATCAGACTTTGGCTTGGCAAGAAGCATTGAATTAAACGAGACAGGAGCAAATACAAATCAAGTTGCAGGAACACTGTAAGATTTCAATTTCATTTTGCATTCATTTGTTTGGTTTTTTGATCATTGAACATGACAAATTAATTTTCCAAACCCAGTGGTTATATGTCTCCAGAGTACGCCGGACACGGGATCTTTTCTATCAAATCAGATGTGTTTAGCTTTGGTGTCTTGGTACTGGAAACTGTGAGTGGGAAAAGAAATAGAGGTTTTTCTCATCATCAAGATCACTATGAGAACCTTCTTGGCCATGTATGTCTCATTCTAAAGCATAAATTCATTAATGTTTAGATTAAAGTCTTGATCAAGTAATTCATCTATACTACAGGCATGGAAGCTATATAGAGATGGTAGATTGGTTGAACTTGTAGATGAGCATCTGAATGAACCATGTGATTCTCCTGAAATTCTAAGATCAATCCATGTTGGCCTATTATGTGTTCAACATTGCCCTGAAGATAGGCCAACCATGTCTTCGATAGTACATATGTTGGCAAACAATGTTGAGTTGCCTATTGCTAAAGAGCCTGGTTTTTTCACAGAAAGCATGGTACGAATTGGAGCCAATTCATCTTCAAGCAAAGAAATATCATGTTCCATAAATGAAGTCACCATTTCATTGCTCGATCCCCGTTAAAATTTGATGGGGCAGGACAGGTTTTTTTGGAGGGTGTGTTCGGAGGACATCTCTTAATTCTTAAATTGGATCCTCAAATGGATCTAGAAATATTCTAGTGTTAAATTGTCAGTTACAAGGTTTTCAATCTTCAATACTAGTATTAACCTTCAGGAGTGCAGGCAAGTTTGCTTCAAAAATTGTTCTTGTATGGCTTATTCAAGTCTAGATATGGGCCCTATTTAGTAACGTAGTTAGCTTATCATTCAATTTTAACTTATTTGATCACTATTAGTTGTTCAATCGTTATGCGTTGGACCCGTGTCCAGCATGCTTGCTGGACACGGGTAACAGTGCCGTTAGGCACTGTTATCTCCTTTTTTTTTTTTTTTTTTTTTTTTTTTTTTTTTTAATTTCAGACCGCTTCATTGTAAGAGTATATGTTCATAATTTTATTACTATATGTTAATAACTGTACATTCATAACTCCATAATTGTACGTTCATAACTCTATAACTGTACATTCATAACTCCATAACTGTACATTCATAACTCCATAACTGTATATTCATAATTTTCGAAGCTCTATTTTCACAATTTTAGAGCTCTATGTTCATAATTTTATCACTATATGTTCATAATTGTAAGTTCATAATGTTAGAGCTCTTTGTTCATAATTCGATCAATAACAGTACATTCATAATTCCATACTGTAGATTCATAATCTCATAACTGTAGATTCATAACTCTATAACTGTACATTCATAACTCCATAACTGTATATTCATAATCTTCGAAGCTCTATATTCACAATTTTAAAGCTCCATGGTCATAATTTTATCACTATATATGTTCATAATTGTAAGTTCATAATGTTAGAGCTCTGTGTTCATAATTTCATAATTGCATAACTGTATATTCATAACGGCATAACTGTACATTCATAATCCAAAAAAAAAAAAATAACGCCGTTAACGGCAAAACACGCGCGATTTTTTTTTTTTTTTTTTAACTAAATGACGCGTTTTTTTTGAAAAACGACGTCGTTTTGGGCCCGTGTCCACAATTCAATGTGGACACGGGTCCAGGGCATAATTTGCCTTAGTTGTTTGACTTGGTTAAACAATCAATTGGAGTGTTTGATTAATTAGCTTTTTGTAGAAGTTTATTGCTCCAAAATGCTAAAATTCAAAAAGCTGCTCAAATTAGTTTTTTCAATAAGTTTTTTGAGGAAGTCATTTTGCATGTAATCGATCAGCTGATAGTTAATTTATAAATTACTTTTCTACAATCAACTAATGCTATCAACTAGTCAAACACACTAATCTAATCAGAAAAACAGTTATTTACCAAATAATGGAGAAAATGGCTGCTTGAACAGGCAAGATCTTTACATCAGGATGGCTTCCTACGACTTAGGTACCAATTTATAATAAAATTTTCCAGTGGTGTACTGAGTGTTGCTATATATAGATGACTATTTAAATTGTTCTTCCCTCTAATTCAAAGTGACCATAAGTCCATAACTTCCTGATGTCAATTACGGAATGCATCTCTTTGTTTGTTTAATTTGCTTGTTTATTTTCTAGCAGTCAATGCTTCAAGCACTAGGGAACAAGTTCAAGAAATGAATCAACCATCACTCTTGGATCGTTGGTGGAGAGTTGACAACAAAAATCAAAGTAATATTTCCCTTTTAATTTGGAAAATAAGTATTATTGTACCTTTTTTGTTCTTATAACGGGAGCATGTGCTCCATCTCAATTAAAAGTCTAAGCTAATAGTTAGATTTGAACCATAGTCATGACCTATGGTATGAGTTAACTCTGATACCAAACTGAAGCAAGTCTTCCATCCCAACTAAAAGTCTAAGCTAATAGTTTGATTGCACATTTATATTTATATAACATAAATGTTAGGAATAAAGTTTAAATTAATCACTGAACGTAATCTGAAAATGCAATTAGGCCACTGAACAAAAAAAAAAAGTGCAATTAAACCACTGAACACTACAAATGTGTGCAATTTCACCGGATAGCAGGTTACCATCAATTTTAACAGGTTACCTACAGTTGAGTTGACATTTTTAATAAATCTTAATAATAAATTTTAAAAAAGTTAAAAATAATTAAATAATAAATAAATAAATAAAACGACGGGGTGGTTGCCAGCCACCCCTTCCCCCTCCTTCGCCCCCACTCCTTCGTCTCCGCTGGAGATGAATGAAGACCGGGGGAGGGGGTGGCCGGCTGTCTTTTTTTTTTTTTTTTTTTTTAAGCCTTATTCCATTATAATTTTCCCTCGAAATAAAATATCTCCTGCTACAAGAACTTAATTAACCTCTACAAGAACAGACCCTATTCAGATTAACAAGTGGACTTCTTAAGGGTAGTTTTGTCATATACATTTTAGCCAATAATAAGCAAAGCAAGCAGCCATTTTCTCCATTGCTTATATCTAGACTTGAATAAGCCATATACAAGAGCAATTCTTCAAACAAACTTGCTCGTACATCTTTATATTAAATATTAATAAATTTAACCACATTATACTTCTTTACCAAACTAGGATTTTATCTTCTATGCTCTACCGAGGATGCAACTCAGTGATGGTGCATTCATTTCTTGAACTTGTTTTTTGTGTGCTTGAAGAGTAATTGCCCTTATTTACACTTTGTTCTATGAAAAATCCTGGCTCTTTTGCTTCAGGTAAGGTGTTGTCATTGGACAACATTGTGACCACGGAAAACATGGTTGGTCTATCTTCTGGGCGTTGTTGCACACATAATAATCCAACATGGATACACCTTTGAACTTGAGATTGATCACATGATGAAGCTAGATGAACATCAATTAGTTCCCATGCCCTATTTTCTTTATATAGCTTCCATGCCTGCAAAGTTAATTTAGATTAATAAAGACTAATAATATAAGTAATTCACAAAAAAATTATATATATGAGTAGTTGATTATGACCCACATGACCGATAAGGTTGAGACTATGGTCTGGGTGGAAAAATCCTCTATTTCTTTTTCCGCTCACAATCTCTAATAATAAAACGCCAAAGCTAAATGTATCTGATTTTATTGAAAATACTCCTTTACCAGCATATTCTGGGGATATGTATCCATTGCATCATAGGAGAACGTTTGTATTAATAAAATTAATGGAACACAATTGGATGATCCAATATAAGTAACACAATATCAAAATTCTTACTGTGTCCCCATAATACGACTTGCATTTGCTTCTGTTGCATCCCCTCCAACACTTCTTGCCAGTCCAAAGTCTGAAATCTTAGGATTCATATTGTTATCCAGCAAAACATTACTAGCTTTAAGATCTCTATGAATGATCCTTAGTCGAGAATCTTGGTGGAGATACATTAATCCTCGTGCAATTCCATTAATTATGGAAAAGCGCTTTGGCCAATCAATCAATTTGCTCTTTGCTTCATCTAATTAACCAAAGGATCTAATCAAGGTTTCATATATAGAATATAGTATGTAATGAAGTAAAGTTACTTATTGATGTATGACGTGTAGGAGATTAGAAAAGCAAACCAAATATGAAGGTATCTAGGCTTTTATTTGGCAAGTATTCATAAACCAAAAGCTTTTCTTCTCCTTGTATACAACACCCTAGAAGCTTTATTAAATTCCGGTGTTGAAGCTTGGCAATACAAATTACTTCATTCTTGAACTCTAATACTCCTTGTGTTGAAGTCTTTGAGAGCCGCTTCACGGCAATTTCCTGTTTATCATCCAAAACACCCTGAAAATTGAAAGTAATCATGTATATGTTACAATTTGGATGTACAAAAGTTTTTGAAATACTGAGAATTCAATGGACTTACCTTGTAAACAACTCCAAATCCACCCTCTCCGAGCTTGTTGTTTTCTGAAAAGTTATTTGTAGCTCTTGATATTGTAGACAAGTCAAATAATGGTAGTTCTAACCATTCTTTTAGCTTCATCATTTTCTTCTTACTCTTTTTGTAGATGTTCAAACCAAGGCACAGACCTAGGAGGATCATTACAATTAGAAGTAGCAAACAACCTAAGACAATTTTCACTTTCTTCCCCTTGGAGCTAGCATGAGATTCCACTCTAATTGGCTCTGTATTATCATGATAATTTTAGTCACTTCAACCACAAAATATAGATTATTGCATATATGTATTCTCACGGCTGGAAATTCTGGAATTTCCGACCACCTGAAAGTGATCTTAAATCAAGTCGAAAGCTTTGTTCCGGCCACTTTTGGTATCCGGAAAAACCTTTGTTGCTATTTCCGACCATTTTTTGCTTTCGACTTGATTTAAGTTCACTTTCAGGTAGTCGGAAATTCCATAATTTCCAGCGATCTTAATTGTAATATGTTGAGATTAAACAAGAACGAGAAAAATAATAATGGCAAAAAAGGTAAAGAAGACAAGATTTACGTGGTTCGGCAATGTGCCTACATCCACGGGAGTGAAAGTATTCTCTTATTATTTGTGATGGTGATAGTGGTGACACAACCCTTTAGGGATACAACCAATATATTTATAGGCATCCAATCCCTATACAATAGGTCTACCCGTTTCACTCCTACTCCTAGTATGAGACAAACACTTATTCCTAATCCATATATGAGACAAACTCAACAATCTCCACCTTGGCGAATATGTTCTTTAGGAGAAAAGATAACTCAACAAATCTCCACCTTGACGAATATGCTCTTTAGGAGAAAAGACTTATCTCACCATCTCCACCTTCACATATATGCCCTTTAGGAGAAAAGGCTTCTCCACCTTCGCAAATATGTCCTTTAGGAGAAAAAGATAACTCAACAAATCTCCACCTTAGCAAATATGTCCCTTAGGAGAAAAGACTTATCTCACCATCTCCACCTTCACAATTATGCCCCTTAGGAGAAAAAACTTATCTCACATATACACATGGGTAGGAACAACCATGCTCATCCCAACTAGCCAGCCACATGCATACGCAGCATCAAACGTTACCCAGTGCATGTACA